TTGAAATTATATTTATTTTTATATTCTAGTTACTACCTAAATTATAAATTATAATACTTCTTTTCCACTAATCTATTGCTAGATACCTATTAATAAAGGAAAAACAACCTCTTTGTTATGTCGAATTTTGATAGTTTTTTTTTTTTATCTTGGAAATGAGAACATTTTTTCTGGTAGAATCAAAGCCCAGATTTTTATTTTACTTTAAATAGAGGTTTAAAAATATATTTGAAAAATAACAAATATCGTGTATTATTTAAATACAGTTAAAAGCTCCTATAATTATAATTTTTAAAACCCCTCTTTAATCAGACCTGCAAAATGTGATCTTTCTTTTTAAATTATGAAAAAATAACAAAATTCGACTTCATAAGATCGTGAGTTATTCCTAGAAGACATGATTTTGTTATAAAAAATACTCTGTTTCAGATACCCTTAATAATTTGTGAATGTTCATTCAGAATCTAAAATTATACAACATACTAAACAATTTTATTTATTAAAGTTTTTTATTAAAAAGTTTGGATAATTGTTTAAACAAATGACAGATGTATTTAATAATGCTCATAGCATATTATATAAACAATTTATTTATTTATTATTATTAATAAGCTACAATAACATTGATTTGTGGCTTTTGTTATACGCAATAAGATAATATAAATATGTGTTTAGAAAAAGAGTATTACATTTTATACATATATAAAGGAAGCGGGAGGGTGAGTTGTACAATTCAAGTTTGGGATGTGAGGGCGTAATTAGATTAGGTTAACAATTTAATTATTTATAAATTAAATAGTATTTGGATAAAACATTATCTTAATATACTAGTTGAAACGTTAAAAGATTTCGTTTCAGAAAATCCAAAATATGAGTTTTAACTTTAATATCGATATCTCACAACGATATTTAATATTCATTAGGAACCATTATGATATTATCTAAATATCTAATGATTTACCTATAAGATGTATTATTTTATTTTTATGGGTAATTATTATGTATTCTGATAAAAACATAAGCAAATGTGTTAAATTGTAATGATGTAATTTTTGGTATCATTTCGGTTTTTAATAGAGGGGGCAAACATTTTGATTAGCCCAAATAATTAGATAGGTAACTTAAAATTAACCGAGTACATATCAATATACCTAATACCTACAGCCCAACTTTCATGCTCGTCTCCGCATGCGTCTAAATACAAATATATTCCAACTGTTAATTAATAATCAGTAATAAATTACATTTACCATTGTATAATAATAATTTCTTAATGCAAAATATAGTATTTTCTCTAAAAGTAATAAAAATAGGCAGGCATATTTTTGCGCTAATAAAATATAATAATGATTAAACGAAACACCCGAGCACCAGCCATTTGGGATRCATTTAAAATCAGACAGGTGCAAATGCCGGGGTTTCGTCGATTCCGCCAGACCTTTTTAAACTTGGGGATAAAGTTTATCGATTCTGCCAGTGCAGGTAGTCTAAAAACAACCTATCGATTTTATTTATTTAACTATGCATATTGTATTATTTTATATATATATATATATATATTAATTCACATTGCATTAGTTTTGCATCATCATATAACAATACCATTGTAAAACTTAAAACTACATTTGACTAAATTAATTTATATTTAAATT